AATATTTAAGATGCACAGTGTTCTCCACAAATAAAATTTGAAGAGGGACGCTAATTTGCATATAATTAGCATATCTAATTTGCATATAATTAGCATACTAATCAAACATTTCAAAGAAAATTCTTAGCACTTTTATATTTACATCAACCTTAAATACTGTGTACAAGTACTATATTACTATATCATTCATTTCTTTTAAATTTCTTTCAAGTATTTTCATTTCAAGTAGGGAGTTCAGAATCCAATATGGCGGCTGCACGAATTCACGCACGCTGTAACTTTTCCCAAGAATTTTAAACTTTTATTTTACAAATTCTAGACATTGCACATCAATAAAATAACGCTAATTATTGAAACAGGTTAGTTGTGTGTCTATTTCGCGCGTAAAAAGCTTGGTACGATGTGTGACTGAATCACACTCCAGCCGGCAAAATCGACCATTAGCGATAAAATTGCGCTGTAAATAAACATGGCCCTCGACATTTTGCAGGGTGCGTGATATAAAACAGAAAAGCCAAAGGGGAGCCAATCAACACAGATCTTTCAAACACAGATGAAAATATGGCCAATAAAATTCACTGTAAGATGGTACTAGTTTAATATATGCAGCTATGACTCATGCCAAAGAAAACTGAGGTCAAAGTTTTGTCCGTTCGTTTTCTTATGTAAATACGGTATGTAAATTTTTTAAACTGAAAGTTTCACCATGTTTACTATTTTAACTGTCGTTTAAAACTATTATTGTAATTATTCATTGACCAGCTCCACTGAGAAAACTCCGGTACAAAATCGAGGTCATCGGAAGACAGGTCAAAAGTTGAGATCGAACGTAAAAATGGCGACGCGCCAATTTTTGAGTCGACCAGAACTTTACCTTGGAGGTCTACACTTCACGGGACGCCAATTTCTGGGTAGTAACATTGATTTCCAAAGAAACTAATTCTCGTACGAGTATTTTGTGACCGAATTTACAAGGTCCTTTGTTATTTTACATTAATTTCGGCACATAATCGGCAATGAAGTGGTTGAATGCAAATTTTCTACGGGTTTAGTTGCCGGGTTCAAAAAATACAGCAATTATTCGCAAAGCTTCAAAAGCGCGATATTATCGTTATTACGACGGCATTACCATTAATTATTTGTGAATTGTACTTTGCACGATTATTTGGTATACTATTAGGGAAATTCTGTGTTGTTTACGTGCATTTTGAAACCATATGCCGACACTATGCACTATAAATCTGAGTACCGGTAGCTCATTCAAAGTTCAACATCGACTTTACTTCTTTCGTGGCTTTGATTTTGAAGATTTCGAAAATCACATTATTATTACCTTATGGCATGAGAGAATTAAATCATCTCAATTATTTGTTTGTTTGGATTTTTTTTGCAATTATTTTTGCCTGTTTAATTTGTGTTCACTTTATTATTATTCAACAGTTGTTTATGTTGTAAATAAAATACACTTTTTAGTCACAATTGTTTGTTTTCTGTGTTTTTTCCTAGTTCTAACATACAGTCAAAACTCGTTAATACGAACTCGGTTACAACGAAATACCGGTTACAACGAACGAACACCGAAGTCCCGTTTGAAAATCCATTATCCCTATGGTAATTGACAACGCTTAGAACGAACTCGTTTATTACGAAAACCCGCTTAGTACGAAAGGATTTTCTCTGAAAAACAATGGTCTGTAACACCTATAGCGAACATTTCATTCGCTCAAACAGCTGCGAAATCCTAAAACGAACCGCCAAATACACGGTGTTACGCTTCCGCTGTTGGCAGTGGGCTTGAGCTGTGCAGCGTAAAATAAAAACAATGTAGCCATTCACTGGGCGTGAAAATCTTTTGTGTACGTGACTTCCAGTGTCTAGTCACTTTCGACGCCCTTGCTGCTCGAGTTTTTAATTTTAAGATTCACAATAAAAAAGTGTGAAGCATGGACGCTGTAAATTTTAGATAAATTACGGCGACTACGAGTGAGATGCCAGTTTCCGTCCTGACTTCAAAATGTCAACTCGTGTCAAACGGCGTGCCTTGTCGTTGGACTGTAAAGTCCAAATGATCAAAGCGATTGAGTCGGGCATTCGTCACGGCGATGTCTGTCGAAAATTTGATGTTAAACCCAGTACACTGTCAACGATTTTAAAGAAAAAAACTGATGTTTTGAAGATGTTCGAACACAACAAAATTGAGCCGTGCCGGAAGCGAATGCGGTTTTCAGCAGTCGACGACGTTGAGCAGGCATTGCTGAAATGGTTTACCAGTGCCCGTTCTATGAATGTCCCAATCAGCGGCCCTATTCTCCAGGCAAAGGCCGAAGATTTAGGACAGAGAATGAATCATTCCGAATTCAAAGCCAGTAATGGCTGGCTGGAGAGATTCAAATCCCGACACGGTATCACGTTCAAATCCGTGTGCGGCGAAGCTGCTTCTGTCAGCGATGACATGGTTGATGACTGGGTAATGTTAACATTACCTGGACTCATCGATGGCTACGCTCCCAGAGATATTTTTAATGCCGACGAAACTGGGTTATTTTTCCGCCTGATGCCCAATAAGACATTATCATTCAAGAATGACGTATGCTCTGGGGGAAAGACAAGTAAAGAAAGATTGACTGTGATGCTTTGCGCAAATATGGATGGATCTGAAAAACTCAAGCCACTGGTCATCGGAAAATCAAAAAACCCTAGGTGTTTCAAAAACGTAAAATCCCTACCCGTCGATTACAAGGCAAACAAAAAAGCGTGGATGGTCAGCGATTTGTTCATCGAATGGCTACACAAACTGGACAAGAAGTACAAACGCCAGAAAAGAAAAATTCTCATGTTCGTCGACAACTGTCCCGCCCATCCAGCTGTCAAAAACCTCAAAGCCATCAAACTCGTCTTTCTCCCGCCTAATACAACTTCGAAGCTGCAACCGATGGACCAGGGCGTGATTAGAAATTTCAAGTGTTTTTACCGCCAACGAGTAGTTCAAAGAATGTTGGTGAATCTTGATTCAGGTGAAACCCTACCCACGATCAATGTCAAAGATGCGATCGACATGCTTCATTCATCCTGGCAAAAAGTTACCGATACCACCATTGCCAACTGCTTCAGAAAGGCGTCGTTTGTACATTCGCCAAATCCCGACGTGGAACAGGAAGTCAGCATTGCCGATCGTGGAGACATTATGGCCGATAACACCAGTGATGTTGAATGTTTATGGGGCAATTTAGCCCATCATATCGAATTGCCAGAAATTTCATTTTCGGATTTTGTCTGCGCAGACGACGAAACTGGTGTTTGTGAATCGCCATCAGACGATGCAATCATAGCGTCCATTTTGGAACAAAACGCTGAGGCCGATGAAGACGACATCGAAAATGTCAGCCCAGACATTCCTGTTGACATCGAACTGCCTTCATCGTCGGAAGCTATGGATTGCATAGTAAAATTACGCACTTATCTTCAGTCCCGTGAAAATGTTGAAACTATGATTTTTTCACAACTTTCAACTATCGAGGACATGCTGTTCACATCGATTTGTTCTGGTCGTCGTCAAACCAAAATTACCGACTTTTTAAAATAGCCATCCGTGTTAATAGCGAACAATTTACATTACAGATTTGTTTACCGTATTACAAATGTAATGAATGCAATGTGAATTTTATTTGTTATGACTGAGAAATCATGAAACAAATACAATGAGTACATGTGTGTTTGTGTATGCATACATGACAAATTCAGTCGATCCAGCATGGACGTACTAAGAATTTCTTTATTCATTTATTTATTTATACATGTACTTTGAATAATGAACAGTACATTTGTATTTTCCATTTTAATATTATTTTAATAAACATGACAACGTTTATTTCAATACTATTTGTGTGTTTTTAATGTTTGGTCTAGTGTTTAAAATGGCGCCATAGTTTTGTTTACCCTGACTTATGGTAATTAGTTTGTTTCTATAAAGCGCCCTCTAGTGGTGATCGGTTATTACGAACACCGGTTATAACGAATATATTCACCTGGGGCCTTGATATTCGCACTAACGAGGTTTGACTGTATATGTATAATATATCAAAGCAATTGGACTTGCGGTTTTCAACAAGAAGTCGAAAATATCACTTTTTACCAAAAATTACAAAAATATTCATCAAAATTAGAGAATTAAAGATATCATCATGAAATGAACAAATCTGAGAGAGGTCCACATGTAGTACCTATATATGTAATATCAAAGCAATCGGACTTACAGTTTCAACAAGAAGTCGAAAATATCACTTTTACCAAAAATGACAAAAATATTCACCAAAATTAGAGAATTGAAGATATCATCACAAAATGAACAAATCTGAGAGAGGTCCACATGTAGTACCTATATATGTAATATCAAAGCAATCGGACTTGCCGTTTTTTTTAAAGAAGTCAAAAATACCACTTTTTACCAAAAATGACAAAAATATTCACCAAAATTAGAGAATTGAAGATATCATCACGAAATAAACAAATCTGAGAGAGGTCCACATGTAGTACCTATATATGTAGTATCAAAGCAATTGGACTTGCGGTTTTTAACAAGAAGTCGAAAATATCACTTTTCACCAAAAAATGACAAAAATATTCACCAAAATTAGAGAATTAAAGATATCATTACAAAATGAACAAATCTGAGAGAGGTCCACATGTAGTACCTATATATGTAATATCAAAGCATTTGCACTTGCGGTTTTTAACAAGAAGTCGAAAATATCAGTTTTTACCAAAAATGACAAAAATATTCACCAAAATTAGAGAATTAAAGATATCATTACAAAATGAACAAATCTGAGAGAGGTCCACATGTAGTACCTATATGTATAGTATCAAAGCAATGGGACTTGCTGTTTTCAACAAGAATTCAAAAATATCACTTTTTACCAAAAATTACAAAAATATTCGCCAAAATTAGAGAATTAAAGATATCATTACAAAATGAACAAATCTGAGAGAGGTCCACATGTAGTACCTATATATGTAGTATCAAAGCAATTGGACTTGCGGTTTTTAACAAGAAGTCGAAAATATCACTTTTTACCAAAAATGACAAAAATATTCACCAAAATTAGAGAATTAAAGATATCATTACAAAATGAACAAATCTGAGAGAGGTCCACATGTAGTACCTATATATGTAATATCAAAGCAATTGCACTTGTGGTTTTTAACAAGAAGTCGAAAATATCACTTTTTACCAAAAATGACAAAAATATTCACCAAAATTAGAGAATTGAAGATATCATTACAAAATGAACAAATCGGAGAGGGGTCCACATGTAGTACCTATATATGTAGTATCAAAGCGATTGGACTTGCGGTTTTTAACAAGAAGTCGAAAATATCACTTTTTACCAAAAATGACAAAAATATTCACCAAAATTAGAGAATTAAAGATGTCATCATGAAATGAACAAATCTGAGAGAGGTCCACATGTAGTACCTATATATGTAGTATCAAAGCGATTGGACTTGCGGTTTTTAACAAGAAGTCGAAAATATCACTTTTTACCAAAAATGACAAAAATATTCACCAAAATTAAAGAATTAAAGATATCATTACAAAATGAACAAATCTGAGAGAGGTCCACATGTAGTACCTATATATGTAGTATCAAAGCAATTGCACTTGCGGTTTTTAACAAGAAGTCGAAAATATCACTTTTTACCAAAAATGACAAAAATATTCACCAAAATTAGAGAATTGAAGATATCAACATGAAATGAACAAACCTAAGAGAGGTCTACCCAAGGTACATATACACCAAGTATCAAAGCATTCAGGCTTGTAGTTTTCAAGAAGAAGTCGAAAAAGTAAAACATTGACACGGACGACGGACGGCGGACGACGACGGACGACACGACATCACTCATATGATAGCTCCGCTTCGACAAAAGTCGACAGCGGAGCTAACAAAAAAATTATAAACAAGCAGCCTATCGGCTGAGATAGCTCCGCTGTTAGCAATGCACATTTCAATTAAAGAACTGAAGACATCATTAGAAAATGAACAATATGAATAGTATCAAAGCAATCGGACTTACGGTTTTTAACAAAAATTCGAAAATATCACTTTTTACCGAAAATTACAAAAATATTCACCAAAATAAATTAATTAGAGAATTGAAGATATCATCACAAAATGAACAAATCTGAGAGGTCCACATGTAGTACCTATATATGTAATATCAAAGCAATCGGACTTACAGTTTTCAACAAGAAGTCGAAAATATCACTTTTTACCAAAAATGACAAAAATATTCACCAAAATTAGAGAATTAAAGATATCATTAAAAAATGAACAAATCTGAGAGAGGTCCACATGTAGTACCTATATATGTAATATCAAAGCAATTGGACTTGCGGTTTTTAACAAGAAGTCGAAAATATCACTTTTTACCAAAAATGACAAAAATATTCACCAAAATTAGAGAATTGAAGATATCATCACGAAATGAACAAATCTGAGAGAGGTCCACATGTAGTACCTATATATGTAGTATCAAAGCGATTGGACTTGCGGTTTTTAACAAGAAGTCGAAAATATCACTTTTCACCAAAAATGACAAAAATATTCACCAAAATTAGAGAATTAAAGATATCATTACAAAATCAACAAATCTGAGAGAGGTCCACATGTAGTACCTATATATGTAATATCAAAGCAATTGCACTTGCGGTTTTTAACAAGAAGTCGAAAATATCACTTTTTACCAAAAATGACAAAAATATTCACCAAAATTAGAGAATTAAAGATATCATTACAAAATGAACAAATCTGAGAGAGGTCCACATGTAGTACCTATATATGTAATATCAAAGCAATCGGGACTTACAGTTTCAACAAGAAGTCAAAAATATCACTTTTTACCAAAAAATGACAAAAATATTCACCAAAATTTAGAGAAATTGAAGATATCATCACAAAATGAACAAATCTAAGAGAGGTCCACATGTAGTACCTATATATGTAATATCAAAGCAATCGGACTTGCGGTTTTAACAAGAAGTCAAAAATATCACTTTTTACCAAAAATGACAAAAATATTCACCAAAATTAGAGAATTGAAGATATCATCACGAAATAAACAAATCTGAGAGAGGTCCACATGTAGTACCTATATATGTAGTATCAAAGCAATTGGACTTGCAGTTTTTAACAAGAAGTCGAAAATATCACTTTTCACCAAAAAATGACAAAAATATTCACCAAAATTAGAGAATTAAAGATATCATTACAAAATGAACAAATCTGAGAGAGGTCCACATGTAGTACCTATATATGTAATATCAAAGCATTTGCACTTGCGGTTTTTAACAAGAAGTCGAAAATATCAGTTTTTACCAAAAATGACAAAAATATTCACCAAAATTAGAGAATTAAAGATATCATTACAAAATGAACAAATCTGAGAGAGATCCACATGTAGTACCTATATATGTAATATCAAAGCAATTGCACTTGCGGTTTTTAACAAGAAGTCGAAAATATCACTTTTTACCAAAAATGACAAAAATATTCACCAAAATTAGAGAATTACAGATATCATCACGAAATAAACAAATCTGAGAGAGGTCCACATGTAGTACCTATATATGTAGTATCAAAGCAATTGGACTTGCGGTTTTTAACAAGAAGTCGAAAATATCACTTTTCACCAAAAAATGACAAAAATATTCACCAAAATTAGAGAATTAAAGATATCATTACAAAATGAACAAATCTGAGAGAGGTCCACATGTAGTACCTATATATGTAATATCAAAGCAATTGCACTTGCGGTTTTTAACAAGAAGTCGAAAATATCAGTTTTTACCAAAAATGACAAAAATATTCACCAAAATTAGAGAATTGAAGATATCATCACGAAATGAACAAATCTGAGAGAGGTCCACATGTAGTACCTATATATGTAGTATCAAAGCAATTGGACTTGCGGTTTTTAACAAGAAGTCGAAAATATCAGTTTTTACCAAAAATGACAAAAATATTCACCAAAATTAAAGATATCATTACAAAATTGACAAATCTGAGAGAGGTCCACATGTAGTACCTATAGATGTAATATCAAAGCAATTGCACTTGCGGTTTTTAACAAGAAGTCGAAAATATCAGTTTTTACCAAAAATGACAAAAATATTCACCAAAATTAGAGAATTAAAGATATCAACATGAAATGAACAAACCTAAGAGAGGTCTACCCAAGGTACATATACACCAAGTATCAAAGCATTTAGGCTTGTAGTTTTCAAGAAGAAGTCGAAAAAGTAAAACATTGACACGGACGACGACGACGGACGACGACGACGACGACGACGGACGACGACGACGGACAATCACTAATATGATAAGCTCCGCTCGACAAAGTCGACAGCGGAGCTAACAAACATGATTGCCATCAGAGTTTGACCGGACTCCACACAAAGACGTTCACCGAATTTGTTTTAAACTTTTTGGATTTCAGCATTCCCATGATGTGTTCTTGGAAGGAAAAATGTATAATAATAAGGTTATTACAGGAATACTTCAAAGTATGCACTCAGACAGT